GTCTTAGTTTGGAGTACCTTTATATTTCATGTTGATGGGTGTTTATAGTGGACTTGCGTCCACCAAATTATATTTAGTGGTTAAATTTCTTGTGACTTTGTAATTGAAAGTGGAAGGACCAAACTGCCATGTACTCGTATAAGAGGGGCATTCATATAACCTAGATGGTCAATCCCTCTTCAAAAGTGAGGTGCTTCCCCGTTTGGAGTACTCATCCTCGAGATATACGACAGACTTTTAATTGATTGAAAATTTCCTTAAGTTGGACATCAGACAGGTGCTTGCACGACGACACCCCAGGTGCCCAGAGGTATTAGAACGCTTGCAGTTGCCCAGGAGAATTTTTTTTTGGGGGGGTGGGATGTGATATCTTGGAATATCCTACCAGAACCGAGTGAATGCTCATTCAAAACCAGACTTGACCAACACTGGCGCAGATTCAGACAAATTAAGAAGCCAGTGCTTGCCCAGTATTTGTCAACAGAGTGTAATAGAGACGTAAAAGATAAGTAAAGTGAAGTGAGTTGTTGGGTAGTTACCGCGTGCCCACCAGGTGTTGTATTCAGCTACACGTACTCACACGACGGACGCTGGGTCGACCTCTCCTCGCACACACATATATAAAGCATTACGTCCCTCGCTGTCTTAGGGTATTGTTCAGTTTCAGTTGTCTGTTTGGGTCTTTTAATATTATTAGGTTAGTAAAGCGATTTATGTATTAAAATTAATTGTGTTTGCGGTGATTCTTGTACAATACTTATTATTCTGTTAACATTTACCTTAAGGGTAATTGTTAGTTTAATAGACTTTTTAGACAGAGTTCGATTTTTTCTAACCCCCAAGAGGAATGAGATGTATATGCAGTCTTAAGTGATAGACGGCGTAACAGATGTAGCAGATAATTTATATATATATACTCAGAACAGTACCAGATCCACGGTGGTCATCAATGTAATCAAGAAGCTTATTGAAAGCTTGAGCTTTTTTTACTTTGGCAGCATAGCTTTCATTTGAATCACGATCAACTACATCTGCCTTTCTCTAAAGTCTACTCAGACATGCACGGTGGTACACAGCATCGATATATATATATATATATATATATATATATATATATATATATATATATATATATATATATATATATATATATATATATATATATATATATATATATATATATATATATATATATATATATATATATATATATATATATATATATATATATATATATATATATATATATATATATATATATATATATATATATATATATATATATATATATTTCATGTAGATCCACAATGAAAACGTGGATGAGATAAATCTTGATAAAATCACACGGGAAAAGGGAAACAAAGGAGCACCTTAGCTTTCGTCTTTATTCAAGACATCTTCAGAGGCAACTGGATTACATGGACAGAGAGGCTTAAATATACAGGGTGACCTTATTAAACATGAGGTCAGGTCATAGTGATGACATCATTTGACCTCATAAATATATATATATATATATATATATATATATATATATATATATATATATATATATATATATATATACATACATATATAATCAACGACCTCACCAGCCAGGAATCGAACCCTCGACCTACTGGGTGAGAGTAGGGAATGCTATCGACCAACCCGCAAGGACACTAAAAGCAGTCCTAGACTGTTATATTTCACACAAAGCCTGTTCATCGAGCTGATGGCGCCGTGAACCTCATTGATTATATGTTCAAAGTCCGCATGTTATATGGACTAAAAATGAAGTATATATATAGTACCTCGTGTTTCATACCCGCTGGATTCGGTAAAATGCCACTGACACCACATACGAGGCACGGGCAGTTCCCAATGAGGTTCACGGCGCCATCAGCTCGATGAACAGGCTTTGTGTGAAATATAACAGAGTCTAGGACTGCTTTTAGTGTCCTTGTGGCCTAGCCGGTAAGCGTTCCCTAGTCACACCCAGTAGGTCGAGGGTTCGATTCCTTGCTGGTGAGGTTGCTGATTATATGTTCAAAGTCCGCGTGTTATATGGACTAAAAAAAAAAAATATATATATATATATATATATATATATATATATATATATATATATATATATATATATATATATATATATATATATATATATATATATATAATTCCACTAAAGTACCAGATTTCAGAAGGGCAAACTTTGACAGTTCAAAGATTCAGCTGAGAGAGGGGGTGTTGCGCTTGGCCGTGAACCTGACAGATGACAGGGACCTGATAACGAGATCTGAGATTGCCGAGTTCCACGACAATTTAAATAGTGAGTTACTTAATGCACAAAGGCAGAACATACCATACAGAAAACTCAGATCAGACAACAATGACCCTAAATGGATAAATAATGATTTAAAGAACATCATTGGCCAAAGGAAGGATATAGGTAGAAGGATAAATCGTGGCGAAATTCACCTCCGGGATTATTATAGGGTATTGGCGAGTAGGGTTAAAACCGAGATAAGGAAAGCCAAGAGGAATAATGAGGTAAGGATAGCAAGGGAGGCGAAGACAAACCCCAAAGGATTCTACCAAATGTATCAAACTAAAACAAGAGAAAAGATTGGACCAATACGGTCAGACACCGGCTAGCTCACTGATAACGACAGAGAAATGAGCAATAATTTGAAAAAATATTTTTCAACAGTTTTCACCACCGAAAATTTAAACATGATACCTGGGGCACCGACTTTATTCAGAGATAGTGAAGAAAACAAATTAAGCGAGATAGTAGTGACTAGTAACGTTGTTAGTAAGCAAATAGACAAACTAAAGCCTAATAAGTCACCTGGTCCCGATGAGATATTTGCCAGAGTATTAAAGAAATGTAAGGAAGAGCTTAGTATGCCCTTAGCAAAGTTGTTTAACATGTCCTTAAAAACAGGTGTAGTACCAGAATCCTGGAGGATAGCGAATGTAATACCGATTTTCAAGAAGGGGGATAGATCACTATCCTCTAACTACCGCCCAATCAGTCTAACATCAATAGTAGGCAAATTACTGGAAGCAATCATTTCAAACTCTATTCGAAATCACCTGGAGAAGCACAGATTGATCAATGATTCCCAGCATGGCTTCACAAGCGGACGTTCATGTCTAACTAATCTATTAACATTCTTTTCATCAGTTTTCGAATCGGTGGACGAGGGGCACAATTATGATGTGGTATATCTCGACTTTAGCAAAGCCTTCGACAGAGTTCCCCACGAAAGACTAATTAGAAAGGTAGAAGCACATGGCATCAAAGGTAATATCCTTAAATGGATTAGGGTGTGGTTACAGGACAGGAAACAGCGAGTGAGCATTAATGGCACTAAGTCCCATTGGAGCAACGTCACAAGTGGAGTTCCCCAAGGCTCAGTACTTGGACCATTATTATTTATTATATACATAAACGATATTGATATCTACATAGACAGCAACATAAGCAAATTTGCTGATGACACTAAAATAGGACGTGTTATTAAATCTGACGAGGACTCCACAAAACTACAGGAAGATCTAAACAAATTTTTCGAATGGTCTGAAAAATGGCAGATGAAATTCAACGTGGACAAATGTAAAGTACTCAGTATAGGAGATGTAAACAGGGAAACCAGATACCAGATGAACAATGATGCCATAGAGAAATCCGACTGCGAAAGAGATTTAGGAGTAATGATAAGCAGGAACCTTAAGCCAAGTAAACAATGTGTTTTTGCTCGTAACAAGGCTAATAAAGTACTTGGGTTCATACAAAGGAGTGTTAGTTGCAAGACTAGCGAGGTCATCCTAAAACTGTATCTTGCTCTTGTGAGACCACACCTGGATTACGCAGTTCAGTTCTGGTCACCGTATTACAGAATGGATATAGAATCCTTGGAAAGAATTCAGAGGAGAATGACAAGACTAATCCCGGGCATTCGGAATCTTGAGTATAGAGACAGGTTAAAGCATCTTAATTTGCACTCCCTCGAGAGACGTAGAGCGAGGAGCGACCTGATAGAGGTGTATAAGTGGAAGGCAGGGCTAAACAAAGGGGACATTACAAAGGTACTCAAACTATCCAACCAGGACCGAACTCGTAACAGTGGTTTTAAATTAGACAAATTTAGATTTAGGAGTGAAATAAGTAAACACTGGTTTGGAAACAGAGTAGTGGATGAATGGAACAAGTTACCAAATATCATCATTAACTCGAATACGCTGAATAGCTTCAAACATAGGTTGGATGCTTATATGAGCAATAGGGGTTGGGTGTAAACAGGATTGCCCAGTATGGGCCAATAGGCCAGCTGCAGTTTCCTCCATTCTTATGTTCGTATGTTCTTATATATAGTTACGACCCTCCTTTCACCGCTTATCTAACTTCCACCACTGGTTACCAACGTCAGGTCAGAAGCAGTAGATATATCACAAGTGTCGCCGAATTACCGCGGGACAAACTATTCACAGGGGATGCCTTCACTACAATTTCTTAGTCTTTTTACTCTTATATTGCTCACACCAATTCCACATTACTTGCACACAATTATCTTCAGTTGTCCTTCTAGGCTTGTAGTTCACACTCTGAGCAGAAACGATCAACTAACTTCACCTAGGCCGCCCGCTGGTATTTATATGCATCTCGTCAAATGCCTGGAGCGTTCTCGCGACGTCCAGACGCTGGAGATTGCACCGAGACACGCCTGGAGAATTCTAGAATGAGCTAGCCTTACAATACTTATGTAAATCTTAACAAAAATGATGCAATGCATTCTAGAAAATTTTTAACATAAATAATACAGCAATATCTACAAGGATATTTTCCTAAACTTGCCAAAATAACTGCTGCTTGTAACAGAAAGGAATCAAAACACTTAGTTCACAAAGATTGCAATACCAAATTATGCTTCCGCATAATACTACCCCCTCCCTAATGCTTGTGTTGTCCCGACACAACTTTACACTATATACATAATAATCCTGAAACTTGGTAGGTGTCCTCTCCCGCTGCTGCTGCCGATGTACTTGGATGTCTTCAGAGTTCTCCTTAGGCTCAGCAACCTCAGTCACATCTTCAGATTGGTCCCCCTCTCCCGTCACGTCCACTTCCACAAAGAGGTGGAACGGTGCTCCTTTTCCTGGTCCATTGTCGGGCTCCCTGGATCGGTACGGCCCTGAGTTCTTCCGTGATCTCCGGTCTGGTCCTCGTCAGTGGTAGGTGACTGCTCCACAGAGTCTTCCCAGGTGTACTGCCTTGGCCCATGATACTGCCACAGACTATTGACGTGGACTACCTCGATTGCTACTTCCTTCTTCCCTTGATCTGGTAGGTCACATCTGAAACGCGTTACACTTCAGTCTATGGTCCTTCCCATGATCTCTGCAACTTCGATGACTGACCCTTCTTCCGCAGAGGGTTATACAGCCAGATTTTATCACCGTCCTTGTAACAGACGTGGCCTGCTTTGACATCGTGGTTGCACTTCATCACTTCACCCGAGAACTCCAGAGCTCTTCGAACATGATTGTGGACCTCCGTCAACCTTTCTTGGAGGCTTTTGACATAACTGGTGGTTTCTTCAGGAAGTTCTTCACCAGGTGGTCTTCCTTTCAGTAGGTCCACTGGCAGCCGCAGTTCGTGACCCACTATGAAGGATAAATTGTTGGAGCAGGTTGCTGACGAAGGATTGAAGATGAGTTTCGAAGCTACAACACCACTTGGTTCCTTTTGGATAAAAGTGAAAGCAGAATATCTTGAGCTTACTGAAATTGCTCTGAAAACTCTTCTCCCATTTCCTGCAACATACCTCTGCGAGACTGGCTTCTCAACCATGAGTGTCATTAAGACAAAGTACAGGAATAGTATGGATATTCATTCTTCATTGCGCGTGGCACTGTCCTCAATTGAACCACGATTGGATAAGCTGACAAAGAAGAAGCAGCTCACCTTTCACATTAGTAAAGGTTAAGGTTTTAACATGCCTATTATTGTGTTAATAAAATAATCATCAATTTCATATTTTAGTGATACGACATATTTTCAAAATTGTTATGTCTTCAATTTAATGTTGCCTATTCCTTTCAATCTTTGTTTTAACGTCTTTATGCATTGGGGTTTAAAATAACCAAAATATATAATTTTTTTTACCTACTTTATTCATTATAATTTTTCATTTTATTACTTATATATACCTATGTTTATAATATCTTCGTAAGAAGGCTTTGCTAGTTTTATTTTATTTATTTATTTTATATTGTAATATTGTATTACTTGTTTGCAAAATAAATATATAATAAAACAAATGTGTCAACTTTTATTATATTCACTATATCTTTCCGGTATAAATTAATATTACTATGAATGTTCAAATAATATTTTCTCGGATCGTAAACAAATAATAATATGGCACAAATATGGTACAGGTCCCTAGCACATTGGGAAAAAAACCGCCGGTCCGCCACATCTGATAGTTTGAGAAGCACTGCTTTACTCCATACACAAGGGAATCGAGAACTAATCATAACGGTTATTCATTTATTAACTGATGTTACTCAAAATGAACAGTTACACTTTCAAAACAATAAACCTATCCTCCTAGCTCGCTAAACAGGGGTCACATGAGTCACAATACATTTCGTGAAACAGAAAAAACCTGAAGGGTACTCACATATATTCTGTATATCCCGCCATGTAGGAAGATGGTTTACAAGAACCTTACACGTCCATCACCCAGAAGAAAGCTGCACCCAGGATAGCTGGGTTTACAGCATACAATAGTGGAGCAGCAAGTGGCCTGCTCACTTATGTAAAGAATGGTCTGGTCTGTAAATGGATCAAAACTCACAATGATGAAAGTATTCACTATTAACAATTTACAGTAAAGACAGCAAACAGTCAGTTTTCGCTGTATAACATCTATGTTCGGTGTAATGAGCTGCGAGCGGACGTGTTACCAAAGCCATCAGGTAACAATGCTATGCTATGTATGGGTGACTTTAACTCTCGTCACACTGTCCTCGGTGATGTCTAGTGTAACTCTAATGGGAGGGTGTTCGTGAATTACATCAATAGTCTTAATATCACTGTATACGACACAGACAAAGTGACACATCTGATGGGGGGCAGACTTGATTATGTGATTGGGTATAACCTAGTAGACAGTATTATCAAGGCTAAGGTCATCTCAGACCACCTAGTCGTTGATCATTATGCAATACTTACTGAATACACTGTTGCTGATGCAAGTGTGAACCCCATCCTAAGCTCAGAATTAACATCCAAGATAATCTTAAACTGCACTTCAAGCCCTACATCCACTGATGGTATGCTGGATAAACACTTGGGTCAGTGGATTAATTTTGCTGTGATCTTGTAAATGTCATTATCACATACTATACCACCTGGGTTAAGTCAAGGAGGACGGGATCGGCACTAAACCACCTCTGTGGACACATGACCCCATCCTCATCAAAGAAGGAGAGAAGTTAGAACAGCTTGCCAACACTTATAAGCAAAATAAAACTAATGATAACCCCCTGGCATTCCTCAAGCTAACAGAGCATTTCGAGAACTCAAAGGTCAGGTGAGAAACACCTATTGGGAAAAATTCTTAGAGGGGATTAATAGAACAACCACTCGAGAAGAAGTGTGGAACAAAATAAGAGTCATTATCAAGTCAACCACCCCAGCCCAACTTCATCACAGCCCTGCAGAATATGCTAACATGCTATTAGACCAATGGTCTAGTGTGTCACAAATCACTTCCATGCCTCCTGACATACAGCAATATCTTAAAACCACACACATTAATAGGGATTTCAATATTGAGATAGCCTGTTCCTCACCAGACCTTACCGACCAGTTTCCTATAATGCACTACGAACTAAAAACAGCACTAATATAAGGTTGCCATCCTCCCCTGGTGAGGATAGCATAACCTATAGCACCCTGAGATTGTTAAATGAGGTCCCTAACCATCCACTGCTTGACCTGTATCAAATGAGCTTCACACAGGGTATTCTGCCTAAGACATAGACTCAAGGAAACAGTACCAATCCCTAAAGCTAACTCTCCAAACTTCAGGCCCATTTCACTCATCCTGCACTTGGAGCGACCTATAATGCCAGGCGCAGAAACAGTACTGGTATGTCTCTGGGTGTAGCCCTCGTCTCTACCCACCGAGGACGGTGTGCGAACGAGGTGCCTGATATGTGTTCCTAGACATTACAAGGAGTCCCATACTTGCAGGTGTGGAGTATAACAGGTGTGGTGAGCTGGTGCTACAGGGAGGTGAGATGGTGTTACTATGTATGATGACCTAAGGTGCTATATTCCATACAGGTGGAGCAGTCCGAAGTGTTAAATGATATTGTAAGCAGGGTAACCAAACTCATCGTTGTTCTTCTGACGAAGGCCAACTCAATTGTATTTTTTTGTTGCCAAATAGTTTATAAAGAATAAATTAGTTAACACATGTTATGGTTTCACCCTTCTTTCCCCTTATCGATCTGGTCAATGAAAAACCTAACCCAATGCCTAGTCCACTCTGCACGCTACCTAACGAGTTACATACTGTCCAGAGGGGGTCTGGTGGCAGCGACCCTTAGAAATTAAGATTAGAGTTAAGTATTTCTCCTTAGAATTAGTGACCCCAGTCTGGCAGTATACTAGATACTTACAGTACCTAATAACCACGACCATGATTATAACAACCAGGACCATGATTATAACAACCACGACTATGATTATAACAACCACGACCATGATTATAACAACCACGACCATGATTATAACAACCACGACCATGATTATAACAACCACGACTATGATTATAACACCATGATTATGATTATAACAACCACAACTAAGATTATAACAACCACGACCATGATTATAACAGCCACGAATATGATTATAACAACCACGACCATGACTATAACAACCACGACCATGATTATAACAACCACAACCATAATTTTAACAACCACGACTATGATTATAACAACCACGACCATGATTATAACAGCCACGAATATGATTATAACAACCACGACCATGACTATAACAACCACGACCATGATTATAACAACCACAACCATAATTTTAACAACCACGACTATGATTATAACAACCACGACCATGATTATAACAGCCACGAATATGATTATAACAACCACGACCATGACTATAACAACCACGACCATGATTATAACAACCACAACCATAATTTTAACAACCACGACTATGATTATAACAACCACGACAATGATTATAACAACCACGACCATGATTATAACAAGCACGACCATGACTATAAAAACAGGGATTATGATTATAACAACCACGGCCATGATTATAACCACGACAATGATTATAACAACCACGACCATGATTATTTAAACACGACCGTGATCATAACCACGACCATTATTATAACAACCACGACCATGATTATAACAACCACGACCATTATTATAACTACCACGACCATGATTATAACAACCACGACCATGATCATAACAACCACGACCATGATTAGAAGAACAACGAAAAATGATTATAACAACAACGACCATGATTATAACAGCCACGACCATGATTATATCAACCACGACCATGATTATAACACCCACGACTATGATTATAACACTCACGACTATGATCATAACCCACACGACCATGATTATAACAACCACGACCATGATTATAACAACCACGACCATGGTTATAACAACCACGACTATGATTATATGACCCACAACTATGATCATAACAACCACGACCATGATTATAACAACCACGACCATGATTATAAGAACCACGACCATGATTATATCAACCAAAACCATGATTATAACAACTACGACCATGATTATAACAATGACGACCATGATTATATAGCGAAGCATAGTTACCAACAACCACGACCATGATAATAAGAACCACGACCATGATTATAACAACCACGACCATTATTATAACAAACACGACCATGATTATATCAACCACGACCATGATTATAGCAACAACGGCCATGATTTTAACAACCACGACAATGATCATAACAACCAAGTCCATGATTATAACAACCCGACCATGACTATAACAACCACGACCATGATTATAACAACCACGACCATGACTATATAATGAGGTAAAATCACAAGAAGAGAGGTTACATATATAGAAAGAATATTTATAGTAAGAGGATGTAAAGAGAGGAAGATTTTGTAGCGTGGCCGTGTTAGTTATTTACTCTGTCAATAAACTTATCTTATTTTATATGTCAATACACATCTATTACGTTCTAGGACGACTTCTCAAACACTGCTTCGTTACAACTGTTTATTTATTACGACAATGACATGGACACATTAATAACACCTTCTATCGAAATTATTAGAACATCATATTTACGTTACTAGGACATCACATATTACGTTACTAGACACTGATTCTCGGACACGAACATGAAATGAATACACTTCCCACGTAAGTAACTCATCCCATGGAAAGCTCTGACAAAATCTCACGTGACCTGGGGAGGCCTAGTGGTCCTGGGTTGTCTCTATGGGAGACTGCTTAGCTGGGCACCGGAGGGAAGTCGAATCAGAGGAAGCGAATCGAGAAGTCTTGCGTGACTCTCCTCCTGTAAGCGGACTGGGCTGTGGTGGACCTCCTCTCTGATCCCTCTGTGTGTCTGTTTCTACCCCACTCTGTCTCTCTGAATCCCCTGAGGGAGGGCTACGTCCTATATATTGGGAGACGAGCCGTCAGGTTGAGCTGATCGGGGAGGGGGTGGCAGAAGGTCTCCATACATTTGACCTCGCTAATGTAGGGTCAGGTCTGGACTTTTTCTGAGACTAAAGTTGTTGTAGGCAGGTGGCCTCTGCTGACTGGGTGCTTATTAACATAGGGGCTGACAAGGAGGTGCTGGTTGATTTGTGGCCCCTTGAACG